CATTATGCCTTCTTGGTACCACATTTCCCACTGTCATGAAGTGGAGTGAGTGATTATACTAAATCAATTATTAGATAAGATGGTTCACTGTGCAGTGCCAGACAATTTCTCTTGCCAGAATCAATTCTTGCACATTTATAGATATATCATTTGTCAGTGCATTGAATATTGCTGCCATAGTTGGTTTGGTTCTTATGCTATATATATCTTAAGATTCTCAACAAAATTCAAAGAAGAGTCTGTAATGTTATCAGTCCTGAAATCTTAACAACAGTCACTTTCCCCCACCACCATAATGCGGCATCTCAGTGTCTTTTTTTTTTTATAAATATTTTCATGGTAATTATTTTTTCTGACTTCTCCTTGGTAACTTGACTGCATGAATTTAAGCATAATAGATTTACAACTAGGTTACATCTAGTTCTTTCAACAGTAAAACTAAGTTCTAAGTTTTTCTCACCTGTGGAAACAGTTTTCTGATTTCTTGCTTCCCTGCCACCTACAATTTGAAAATATTTTAATGCAATGTCAAGTGCCATCTTCTGTTTTCCTGGATACTGTTCTTTTATTGTCCTTTCTCCTCACTAAAGTATTCTCATTCTGTTTTACTCTGAGTAACACCTGGTGTCTTAGTGGTATTATTGCCTTGCTTGGAATGAAATGATTTAAACAATTTAAATAATTAACTGTAGGACTTTACAAAAAAATGAACATCTTTTTAGAACATAAATGTTAGAAAATATAAAGAATTATTTTCATAATTTTCAATAATAGCTAATTGATAACAGGTGTTGACTTCTATAAACTGTAAGGTTAGACTCAATTTTTTCTTGTGGGAGGGTGTTAGAAAAGAGAATTTTAGAAATTGGAATTTTGAGGTAGTATCAAGTTCAGGAAGGGAAAGAGTGAACTAAAGGCATCCTTTTTGAGAAATTGGAAGGGGCTGTACTATGGCTGTTCACCCTGTGCACACAGGAATCTTAGTTTGGTTTCAACACAGTAATTTTTTATCAACTATGATATATAACACTGTCTATTTGAAATAGAGTGCATGTATTAAACTGAAATGTTTTTGCCCAAAATGAAAAGCGGTAATAAGTTTGTGGAATATTTTTAATGAAGGAACAACTTTGAGTGGTTAATTTTAGAAAGGACTTCATAAATTGGGCTTCCTGTAGCAGCCACAGCTCTAAAAGTAGTCCACATGTTTCAAGTGGAACTATAAAACATCACAAAATTGTTAAAAGGAAATAAAACTCAATAAAATACTTTAATATTTGGATAAATTTTCTTTCATTTTATTTATAATAAAAAGGAATAGCAATTAAAATGTGACCAAACAAAAACAAGAACAAAAATGCAGTTTTTGTGGAGGTTATCTCCCCTACCAAGTGAAGAGACAATAAAAAAAGCACAATGAATTTACATCTTAACATTCAGCTATTGTTACACTATTCAAAATTTAACCAAGAAAAAATTAATTTAAGCTGAAACTAAAAACAAATTTTGAAAAATTGAGCTCCAAATATATTTAACTAACTTATTTAAAAATAGAAAATATTTTATTTCCCACTGGAATTTATGAATTTAAAATTAAAAAAAAAAAAAGTTTTTAGAACAAAAAAGAAATGAATGCAAAGAAAACAATATTCAGCAGCGTTCATTTAGTTTAAGCATACATTAAAATAATTCCTATTTAAGCAAAAAAAAAAAAAAAAAAAAAAAAAATATTTAAGTGCATGTACAACTAAAGGATAACAGTAACTCTGAAATTATGTATCTGTGGGAAACTGGAGATTTCATCATCAGAATAGGTTTTTCCACATTATTTTCTTCTATTTCGTTTAATAAGTAAAATTTATAGAAATCTCAGATGATCAAGAAGCAGGTCTTTTGAAACTAACTGTGCTTTATATAATTTCAAAATTGCCACTCACACACATGAGGGTGGAGATGAAATATTCTCGGACTGACCCACTCATCAAAATCATTTGAACAAATGACTGACCAAACATTAGAATATTTTTAATCCCATTTTGATGGTCAATAACTCTTCAGCCCCCTTCATATGTAAAGATTTAAAAAGAACTTTTAAAATAGAATCACAAAATAATGATGATTAAATTATCAATTAGGGAATTTTTTCTGAAATTGAGAAAATGTACTGTTTTTCCAAAAGCAATTTCATTAATTTTGCCGAGTTCCAAATGGAAACCTAATTTGTTAGTTTTTGAACAATGAGAATTTTTAACCAGCAACTGCAAAATACATAAAAAAGGTTAAAATAACATTTTTTTTTTTATATATAAAAAGAATTTGCAATTTAGTTCATAATTTTTGTCCAGTATTTCTTTTATCTTGATTTCTTTTCATCACATGTGAGAAACTGTCAATCTACAGCTGTGAACAGTGTAAATGAGAAATAAAGAATACAATCCCAGCAATATTTGAACTTCTATTTTCCCAATGAATCACATTGCCTCTTGAGTCAAATGAAATCTTTACAGTTGGAAAAAAAAAAAAAGGAAAAAGAAATCCACTCTTAAACTCGTTCTATAGTCTTTCCTTGACTGCACCAGATTTGTTATTGTTTGAGAAACAACAACAACAAATATGGTATCAAGTGATACTGGTTGGCAGATCCATGTTGTTTAATTATTTCTGTAGACAGTCTGGATAAATGTGATGAAAAGCAAGTAAAATTAAGATAAAAGAAATAGTAGTCAAAAATTAATTAATACTTCATCTAATAGTAGAATGATGGTCTGGATGGTTGCAATGAAAAGCAATTGAAATCAAGATGAACATAAAACTAATCAAAAGTGAATGTTTGCATTTCTGAAAAAGAAGTAAAAGCCTCAGCAATTTTTTAAGTAAAAATAAATAATTTAAAACAATTTTGTTATTTAGCAATAAGTTCTGGATCCAGTGTTCTTTCTTAGTGAAAACAATTTCTAATTGAAAATAAATCCAAAGCTTGTTTTTAACATCAGCTTGTATCAACACTGCCACTTCACTTGAAACATACATTAACTTACAAAAATAACTTATGTTCTTAAATTTTTTTTGTCTATAATCAGAGTAGCTAGTAATTTTCTGTGTGTGTTAATGCCCATTAACTGTCTGAGAGATTTATTAGTTATGAGCATTTTTTATAAGTTGAAGAACTTTGAAGACCATTTGACCAAATAATGCCCAAGAGAGAATAAAAACAAGAATTAATTATTGCAGATTTTACAAGAAGTTTCATGGCAATACAAATAAATTTGACAAGTTACAATCAGTCGGTTTATAAGTTTCTCAATTTGAAAGTGTAATGTAAAGGAAAAAATTCGCTCCCTTTTACAAGAAATATTCTTTCAAAGGAATAGTTCAAGAATGGGATTAAAAGATATTGACAACTAAAAACTTATGAAATTTTGTGAAGAACCTTTCAAAACCAACATTATTAAAATAAACTGAACATCTCTTTCACTTGTTAAGATAATATTTCAGACAATCTGTTCTGTTTTTCCAGGAGAAAGGTGTTGAATGGAGTGGCTGAAACAGTAAGTATGTGGAAAAATAGAGGTTCATTATCTGAACAAAGTCACATAAGTTAGTCGATCTTCTCAAAACATTAGAACTCTTCTGGTTTTTCAAAATCTCAACAAAAAAAAAAAAAAAAAAAAAAAAACTTTGATTAATGTAAGAATAGTCATCTCCACAAGTTTTTAGCATTCGGAATGGTTTCATTCTAACTGTAAATATTTAAAAGGAAAATTAAAAACATAATTCATTCTTTATGCATCTAAAGTCAAGCAATTTGAATGTGGAAATTTTGCTGAACTGATTCACAATTTTCTTGGATTTAAGCAGAATGTGTTTCCATTTGATATTTGGACAGGTGAGCTGATTGATAGATTAGACTCACAAAAACATTAAACACAAATCAGAATTTGAAATCTTAAACAATGAAAGACAAATTAAAAAGGAAAAAAAATCCCCTCCCCACAACATAAAAATTTCTTCATTTGCCTTTAGGCAGAAACATTAACTCCACAAAAACAAACAATGCTATTTTAGAAATGAATACCAATTCTGGTGGAAAGTTTATTTCAGATTCTTCATCTGTTGTATTTTTATCAGTGATTCCACTCACCAGTCAATTTTATACTCTCTCCTGAAGATATCTCACCTGAAGATGATCAAAGCATGATATCTAGCACCTGGTATTAGATTAACAAATGTTAGTTACAAGTGCACATCAAGAAGGAAGGGTTTGTCTTTAATTTGAAGTTACCATTTTTCTTCTTATACTTAAAAGTGGCACCAAAAATCATATCCATTCCCCTTTAGTATGACTGTGGAGTTCCAGAATTGGGAAAAATCCAAACGATTAATTTCTGCAATTTTTCCTCATCCAATAATTTCTTTCACAAATTTGTTATAACCAAATAATCTTATTTTGTATTTTCATATTCAAACTTTTCATTCATAAATATATCAATTTATTTTCTTTTACCAACACAGTGAATGCGCATAATTATAAAAATACTTGCTACAACATAAAAAAAAAAAAATTTAACTGCCACCATAAGTTGCTTTGTCCATCTTAAATAAAAAAAAAAAAGAAAAAAGACCACCGTTTTTTGAATTTATCACATTTTGGCAGCGATTCTTTTTTTTTTTTCTTTTAAATAAGATCTGATTTTTGCAAAGTTTTTTTCTTTCAATTTATTTCTTTGAAAAGAATTCTGGAATTCAGAGTAAATGGAGATTTAAAAAAAAAAAAAAAAAAAAAAAAATGGAGGGTGAGAATGTTTAGTAGCAGAAATGTAAAAGAAAAAAAGAGATGGAGGAAGAAGACAAGAAGGTGAGAAAAGATTCTTTTGTAAGATAGAGTTTTTTGTTTTTTTTTTAACGAAACAATTGCCTGCAAATCCATGGATGAGTTTTTATCACAGTTAAAAGCATCCAAGTCTAATTCCACAGAGAGCAGAACATAGCAGTAATAGTGGTCATAGTGAGAGAGAGAGAGATATGTAGTGAGAGAGAGAGAGAGAGAGATATGTAGTGAGAGAGAGAGAGAGAGAGATATGTAGTGAGAGAGAGAGAGAGATATGTAGTGAGAGAGAGAGAGAGAGAGATATGTAGTGAGAGAGAGAGAGAGAGAGATATGTAGTGAGAGAGAGAGAGAGATATGAGAGAGAGAGAGAGAGATATGTAGTGAGAGAGAGAGAGAGAAAAGAGAGAGAGAGAGAGAGATATGTAGTGAGAGAGAGAGAGTGTATGCATCTGTGCGTATAGTATGAGGAAATTGAATAAAAAATGTGGAGATGGTGTGGGAGAGACTTATTTGTATGTTTACACTTTTACAGCAACTCTGGCTTGGTTGTGCATCAAGTTTTGTAATTTGGCTAAATTATCTTTGGTCATAGAATCATCAGGTTTGAGTCTCAGGGCTTCTTTGTAACTTCTTTCAGCTTCTTCCAATTTTCCATTCAAGTGTAAAATGGCTCCAAGGTTCATGTGAGCAGTGGCTGTCTGGAAAATATAATAAAGAAAAAAATCTGAACCCAAAAACAAAACTGTTTTTATTTCGGAAGAATCTTAAGATTTTTCAATGACGTATTTCTGGTGCTTAATCACTACCATTTTTTCTTATCTAAATGGAAATAATAAGAGCCAAGGCTTTGAATGCTGAATTAGAAGAATGGACTTTATAAGAAACAAGAAATTCTGTTCAAAGCTTCTTGAAGATTAATGTATAGAATTAGAGAATAGACTAAATGATATGCTATCAAAACAACAATGATATTAATTTGAATAGGGACCAGTGACAAAACTTTTCCTTACAACTTGAATACAGATGAAAATCAGAATAGTTCATTTGAAATATTGGGATCAAAACAACAAATAGGAAGATAATTATATTAAAAAATGTTCTGATATATATATATATATATATATATATATATATATATATATATATATATATATATATATATATATATAGAGAGAGAGAGAGAGAATACATCTGTGCATATAGTATGAGGACATTGAATAAAAATGTGGAGATGGTGTCGGAGATACTTGTTTGTATGTTTACACTTTTACAGCAACTCTGGCTTGGTTGTGCATCAAGTTTTGCTCACTAGCTGAATCAGTCATGAAAACAACAAAAGTGAAGATATTAATCTAAATAAATAGCAATTCTATGATGATTAAAAGATCATACTGGTTATAATGTGACTATCAAGGAGATACAATGATAAAGAGACTTGTGTCTAAAGATTAACTTACTTTTGGATTAAGAGCAGCAGCACGGCGATAAAGTTCTTCTGCTTCTGCATTGTTTCCTGATTGCCTGGAAAATATCCCAAATCAAAAATGATTATCATTTCTCTTTTTAGACCATTTTATTTCAGAAAAAGAAAAATTGTAATAGAAATTTTTGTTGGCAAAGTTTTTTCCAACACTTCAGTAAAAAGCAGCCAGAAGATAGAAATTTTTTTTTTTTTTAATATAAATTGTGATTAAAAAGTAACTCCCTATTTTATGTATTATAGACTCTCCTGTCTTGTAAAAATTAGTTAGATGGGAGGGTCCATCATACATAAAAATAGGGAGTTACTTTTCAATCACAATTTATTCTTTTCAGAACAGGATGTGTTAAACTTGTTTCTAAAGTCACTTTCATTTTTGGACCTAACCAAAAATATTTGGGCATCCTGTTACATTTTAGAGCAAGAAAAAAATGTATCCATTGATTTTGAGTCAGTAATAACTAGACTTACAATTAAACTATATCCCAGTTAAAGATGGGTTTTCTATGGATATTAAGTGGGGGGGGGACTTTCTCCTAGTTGCTAGCAAGGATTTTATCTATCTCAATAAATATATATTGTCGAAGCAAGTTTTTATGTAACAATATCGTGGCTTTTTGAGATGGAATATGGCAAATTATGTTTATGTTTTGGTAGATAGATTTTTTAATAGTTTGTTTATACTTTGAGTACACAAGTTGGTTTTAGTTTATTCTAACCCAAAATAACTTTTTTTTTTAAATATAAATATAAAAATGCATGATTTTTTAACCAGAATCTATCACATTTCTATTATCTTTAAAAAAAAGAAGTATTCAAATAACTCTAAGTTGCTCAGGGAACTTAGAACTGTTAGCTTAATGTAACTTAAACTTTACCTATTAATATCCTTCTTAAAGTGATATTTTATTTTGTTAAAATTCATTCTTGTTCTATTTCAACTTCTGTTGATTTTTATTTGGAGTTTTCCTTTTATAATAATCAACAATATTTTCTTTTAATTATCACTAAAATAAATCTTATTTATGGGAATTTGGATTTTCTTGATAGATTTTAGATAAGATTTTGAATAGCTTTTTTTTTCTAACAGATTGTTTTTAACATTGACTTAAGTTACTAGAATCAGTTTAAAAAAATTGTAATGATTAGAAGATAACTGGAAAAAGGAAAGTCTGAATTCAAAAAGCACTCCACTCTTTCCTTAGGAAAGATAATAAAGAAAAAGAATCTGTGGAGAGCCTAAAAGGAAGTGAGATTAAAAAAAAATATATTTCAAAGAATATACTATTTACAAGTTAGATTGGACTCTTTAGTCTTGGATTGCAGGCAGTCTTGGAGAAGGATGAGTCTGAAACTGTGGCATATCATAATGAGAAACCACTCTCCTATCTTCCCTCCAAAAGTCATAGCAACTCACAGATAAAAATAAAATGAATCCATGTAGTGGAGTCTATCTCTTCGCTTTCTTTTTCTCACCTTTTTATTTCTTTCTCTTTCCTTGCATTCACAACTTCCTAAATGCGTTCTTATCCATTCTGAAGAGAATATTTGTTTACAAAACAAAATCCAGTCCATAAATAGCAGGATGAAGAATTTGCCCCAAAAGTTGTAAATGTATGAAATTTAAAAAAGAAGAAAAGTGCCTGTCTAAATTCTAATGGACTTACCTCATTGCATTGGCCGTGTTAAACACCAATTCAAAATCATTGCTATTATTTTGCAACACTTGCTTGTAAATCTCAACTGACTCTGCATGTCTTCCAAGTTCTCCAAGAAACTGAGCTGGAAAAAAATATGTCAATCAATAAAAGCAGTTTCCCCTTTTACAAATGTGATTTTGATTCATTTACAATTAAGATACTTGAAAAAGACCTGCTGTGTAGCTGAGATAGTTGTGGATATTGCCCAATAGTATTAATGTTCAAGCCTAGATAATAGGAACAAGGATTTTGAATTCTGATTTTAATGACAGACTAGCCATCTCCACTTGGAAGATTAGCACTTAGGTTATTTTTAATTTTCCATTTATCCTTGTGCTACAATAAGTAAAGCTTAGTAAATACATACTAAATAAATAAATATATATTTTAACAGTTTCCTCTGCTTAGATAGTATCTTTTTATAATTCTTTTAACAAATTATTTAAAAGTTAGGGAGAAGACAGACTGTGTATTGATGTCAAAGCAATAACAAATCAAATTTATATTTCCTAATCTTTGAGTAACTGTTTTGCAATTTTGTTAACTATCTTTTCACAATACTACAACTAAATTAAATAGATTTCCTAAAATATTGTTTTTTGATAAGCCCTAATTTTTTTGAGATTTGTAATTTACATAAGCATTACTTACCATAATGCTGATGTGCAGTTCCCTCTGGAGTGTCAATCATTAAGGCTTTTAGAAACCATTTCTCTGCCTTGCCTATTTGATTCTGGAGTTAAAAGGTACAAAATTAAAATTTGAAATAAAAGCAAAAATGATTTCATATTTGACGAGTATTTTTCTTTAAATGCAAACTAAATTCTATAATGAAAAGATTAAAATTCAGGTAATTCATTAGGGTAAGCTTCTCTAGCAAAACTGAGTAAGAGTTCAATTTTCACTGGGTGGCCCTCACTTATGGCCTTGTATCAAACTAATTAAAAGAAAAAAAAAAAAAACATACTTCCTCACTATAGAATAAGCTTGGTTAGCTGACCATTACTGTAGAATAGGGAATTTGAACCTGATTGGGTACCCCATACTTTTGATTGTGTCAAACTAAGGTAAGTTTGATCAATAATATTTGATTTTTGTGAATATTCAGAAGGAAATCTAATTGTCTATTTGGTGTCTGAAAAGACTAACTGACAGTGTGGGGTTGTATTTTTATTTTAACTGTTGTAAAGATTTGAAAGTAAGTTGGTTGTAGTGGAAGAAGCATCAATGACTGAAGATGTTACACAATGTGCTTGAGAGAGAGTTAGATTCCATGTGACCTGCTTCAAAGATAACCAAATGGCAATTTCAATATGACTCTAATAATGTATTATTACCTATCCGATCAACCCAAGAAAGAAGTTGTTTTAGGAAGACAGACTGGTTTTTAATTTCGTTTTTATTGGTTAGAAGGGATGAATGTTGAAATTCAAATGTACAAATATTATATTTGAACTTAAAAGAAAATACCCTCTACAGACTTAAATCAATTTTTTGCTTTAAATTAGAAAAAATAAGTTCTTATGAGGTGGATACAAAACTGAATCAAAGAAAAGGTTTTAAAAACAAAAAGGAGCAGGAGGTAAAACAAGTGTTTTTTTTTTCAGATAAAGGAAAATTAGGAATATAATAAGTTTGTTTGTTCATACTTTAAAAACTAAAATGAAATTGAAAAAATATTTAAAATTTTCAAGAAACAAAATTAACAAAAGTTTAAAATTATTCTTCTCTATAAAAGATACTTTTCTTTTTTGATGTTCAAAAAGAATATCTACAATTTTTTTTCAAATTCCTGTTTAAAATATGAAATTTACATATCAAATGTTTTTACTTTCAACCAAACAAAACTTTCATAAAATGTTCATGGTAAAATTAAGGTTTAGAAATTATTAAATTGGCCAAGAATCCGTTTATTTCTTGAAAAGATATGAGTGATGCAAATTTTTTATTCATTTAAGTGTGTGATGTAAATCTGTCAATTATTGCATTTTATGAATTAATTTCCTCCTCTTGTGAATTAGTCATGAATTCAACTCATTCCCAAGAACCCCTTCCACACCATAGTAACATAAAATACAAACTTTTCTCTGTAGAAGTTTTGCCATTGTAATATGAGCAGGTAAGTGGTTGGGTTTAACTCGCAATGCTTCTTTGTACCAATTCTCAGCATTTTCTATATTACCAGATTTGAAATAAGCTTCACCTATAAAAAGACAAAATAAAATCAAGCACTGATCATCAAATTCTGCTTATGTTAGAAATCAAAAAGAAGCTACAAATGCTTTTCATAATATAACCAAATTTAGTTTATCATGAAAGAAATAAATAGCCTCAACATTAAAGACTCTTTAGCTAGGGATAGTAATTTTAATTGTTGACTATCTTTCATAGAAGTTGGGTAAAAGCACACACCTCATGATGAAATATCAAAATAGTTGACAGATCATTGGTGCTTGTCTTTGGTTCAAAGACCAAAAATTGTTTATCATACAAAAACACCAAAACAAGTAGACATTTGCTAAAAACCCAGGAATTAATAAAAAATAAAACTGAACTTACCAAGCATATTATAAATACTTTGCATTGAATAATGGACAGGAGCTCTTTGGATGGCTTCATTATATGTATCAATGGCAAGCTATAAACAAAGTAACAAAAAGGCAAATTATATATTGAGGGTTGACAATCAAAAATGGTGATACATGTTTTGGTATAAACAGCTTAAGTCAGCCAAATATTTTATTGACCTTTGTGCTATATTTGATTTGCCTGAAGTGTTTATTAATATCTTATTGGAAGTGACCATTTCAGATCATTATAGAATGTGTATGTCCATTCCCAACTAGAAGTGATGAGATTCTGTTTCAACAGTTGTTAAATTGAGTAAAAACATTCAATATGAAAGTTTCAAATAAATTATTCTTCCTCAAAGTAAAAATTAAAGCATCAAATTTTACATTACATGGAAAAATATATAAAAAAAAGAAGAAAAATCCTAACATGTATGTAAATATGAACAAACATCATAAACTGCCTGACATCTGCAAGATATGGGAAAACTGTCCTTTTGACATACAGTTTTTTTGCAAGCACAAAGGTTAAAGATTTATAAATATTCTTTATATAAAAAAATGTGGGTTGCAGGATACAATTTTTTTTTTCTTCAGAGCTCATTAAAGGACAAATACACAAATATATGCAAACAACTTAAAAAAAAAAAAAAAAAAAAAAAAAGCGGGAAAAGAAAAATACTACCAGAGAATTAGCAATATAAATCACAGACAGATTAAATTTAGACCCAGTAACCATTCCTTCTGTTTATGCAGGAAAGGCTACTTAGACTTAATATAAAAGGTCTCAAGCACACAAATGCTAATCTGAATATACTCTGCTGACTACTGTGAAAGAAATATGGCACAAGTTGGATTATTTATTAAGTGATCTGTAATTGTAGAATCTGAAGTATTAAAAATCCAAAGCAAAATTTCATACAGCATTCTATGGATCTTAGATGGTAAATGCTGATCAATCCTCTACTGAAACCTGATTAATTCTACCAATATATTGAGCATCACACTAAAATTTAAAATCTTCAGACTAACATTGCATATATGACAAATGTAATGTCTATATAATACTGAACATACCAATTGATTTCAAGTATTTTCTGACTAACTGCTAGTTGGACTTTACCACACCTTGTATTTGATCTTAACTAAAACCTATAAAAGGAAAAAGGTTTGGCAACTAAAAACTTAAGACACATGTTCACTTGCAAGCAAGACTTTACCAGAAGATTTTTCAATTAAAAGAGAGAGAATGAAAGATCAAGAATATACTGATAACAAGCGATTTCAGATTTCTATCAACAATGACATAAGACATTTTCTATAAACAATTTTGATAACAAAAATGTTATATTTAAACAATACATCAGACAATTCGCATCATGGCAAACAAACATTTTGTATATAAATCAGTCGAGTTTGCATTTTAGATTCATTTTTATTGCTTGAATTAATTCAATTTTCTCCTGCACAATTGATAACCAATTTGTTCACCTCCATATCTTATTGTATGACTTATTACTTGCTAAGAACAGGGCTAAATTTAGCTAATATTGTCTATTAAGAATATATAAAATGCTAAATGTGATATAAAGCAACAAAAATGATTATTATAATCTACAATGATATAGAATTCAATTCAAACTGTTCATGCGTTTAAACTCATGATATTGCCAATGCAGTAATATTAATTTTTTTTTATTATAAAGAAAATAATCAAGAAAACATAATCCAGAAGTAAACAAAATAAATCCAAGATTTAGAATGTTACCTGATATTTGTGAAGGTCAGTATACATCCTTCCCAAATTGTAGAGAGCTGATATTTTGGTACTTTCATGAAGCCTTGGGTCGCGTAAGCCATTAATATCTATACCTGCACATTCTCGGTAGCTCTGAAAGAAAATTTAAAAATGCTCAGTGTAATCAAAAAGTAAAGTTTAATTGGAAATGCTATAAAATTGTGCAGATATAAGAAATTACTGGAGAAAGAAATGATGATTTATGAAAAATTAAAGGGGGGGTAAGTATTTACAGAGTTCTTTCCCTTGAATTAGTTGAGAAGACGAGAAAAATAGCCATAATGCAAATTTTGAATTAAAAGATTTAAAAGAAATGTTAAGATAAAATGCTATTTGAAATGATAAAGTGTGTTTTAAAATTATTAAAGACATTTTACTAAGATTTATGCGTCTCTCATTTTTTTAAATCTATATATGAAGACGAAATGAATGACAAAGTGGAAAAGATTCTGTGTAACATTTAAGATTTCAGACTAAAGTAATGTTTTTCTTGTGGCAATCATTACAGGTGAAATATGTTAGAGCACAATAATTAATCCATCAGACACTCAAATCTTTCAAATCATTATTCAATCTAATGATCTTGTATTAAACCAAACAAAACTTAGTAAATAGGGTGTCTATCATAGAGCAAGGGTTAGTAAGTTAATTTTTCAGCTATTCACAGAGGTACAGAGTTCAATCATCCCTGGATGCTCTGTTACCAGCTTTGTAAGCTGACCAGTTGGCTAGTGTGGTCAGTTTAGTTCTCACTAGGTTCTTTACTATTGGCCAACAGAGTTTGTGTAAATATTCAGAGGAGTGGCTGCAGGTGAAGCTTAGTACACTGTGGCTTTGTGCCAGACTATGTTAAGCTTAGCAAATATCAGCCATTTGTAGATCTCAAGCCATGACTTAAAATAATAGAAAAAAATACTTAGAAAATTGAGTACCCTCTCATAGATGAACCTTTGGAATATTACTTATTGAATCATAACTATTTTTGTTAATTTTTATAAACTGCAAGTCAGAAAGTTAATTTTTTGGCACTTGCTACAACAAAAGACAAAAACAAAAGTTGTTTTTTTTTATTTTTAAAATTGTCATTGTATTTATTTTTATCAACATATTTGTCAAGGAAGTAATTAAAAACAATGTCCCTGAATTTATGTGGCAATCCTTTTTTGTTTTACTTTTTTCTCAATTGATATAAATTTGAGCATTTTGAGTTAAATATAAATTTCCATTTGAGGTTCCTGACAAAATTAATTACAATAAATCAATATCAATAACCTCAAAGGCAAACATTTTCTACTTCTCATACAACAAAATCCATATTTTTCTCTAATTTTTAAGATGTATGAGGATGATGCTGAAAAGTTCTTGGCCTGAGCCACATTACAAAATCTAACTAAATATCAAAAATTGACTTAGGAAATAGTTTTTTTTTTCTGTTAGGACAAGAACCTTTCAGCATCTTGTAATATTTAAAAAAATATTCTATTTATATGACGTCTATACAGCCATTTTGAATATCTTGAGAATTCGTTATGCAATGTTTCAGTGAGCAGACTTTACAGACACTTTCTATAGGGTTACTCAGCAATGAGATACAATTATATGAGCAGATATTCTGTATAAACAAATTTTCTATGTTCATTCTTTATGCCACAAATGTGGCAATTACAACTGAATAGTGAGTTAGATCCTTATTGGGTGCCCCATACTGTCAGCTTTGTGTCTCATCTAAGCTATACTTAGAAAGTCACCATAAGAAGTTAGAGAATGTGATTTTAAAGAATGGAATATAATCCATAATCTATTTCAGAGTCATAAAGGTACAAATATTCACTAGAGTAACACATGAAAATAGACAATAACTTATCACTACAAATTTTAATTCAGGTCCAGGCTCATTCATTATTCTTGTTGTCTTTGAACCAATTTTTCACCAGTACATTTGCATATTTAGGATTATTATCATGTTGGTAATAAAAAAAAAAACAAAAAAAAACAACACATACCTGGCAAAATCTTTCAGATTTTCCTTTAAAATATTACAATAATATTTTTTCTATCAATTATCATAAAGCTAACTTTGGTACTGAAAACTATTTAACCATTGTTCCAAAACACATTCTGGTATTGGAAGCATTCATAAGTTGTCGTTTTAAATTCAAATGCAACAGTTTCATCTTTGCCATGTTGTTGTTTTTGATAATGACTTGAAGTAAACAATATGCAGACTCATTATGGTAAACTTAAGGTCTTTTAAAAATTTACAAACTCAGATATATAGACTGATAAACTATTTCACCATAACATCAGATTATGTATGTATGTATATATATATATATATATATACATATATATATATATATGAATGAAGAAATATAGTTTTAAGATGTGCTATATTTATGGGATAAAGTGCTCAATATTAGAAATAGAGTAATTAAATATAAAAGTGAACATTGAAGTTAACATACAGAGGCGACAGGCTGTTTCATGCTAGACACAATTGTCAGGCCGTGAGTGTTGGTTTTTTCGACTATTTATATATATGGGTCACTTGTGGCCTGACGATCACATCTAGCATGAAACAGACTGTTGCTCCTGAGTGTTGACTTCAATGTTCATATATATATATATATATATATATATATATATATATATATATATATAAAATCAATTTTATAAATAAAATTATTTTCTGTCAAACAGATGATTTTGTCCTTGCTAATTGTATCTTGTTGTATAAAATATGTAAATGTAAGCAATATTTTTTCTTTTATTCTTCATCAGAAACTGTTTTGTAATTTGGTTATTTATCTAGAATAGTAGGCGTGGTGGAGTAATGGATAGTGGCTTGGATTGAGGAATCAGAGGATTGATTTCGAATTCCAGTCAAATCCATTACATTCACTTACGTGCTAATACCCTTGGAAAAGGGTATGAATCCTCTTCTTCTCCCCTCCAGCTATGGGTAAATAGCTGGACAGACCAGGTTCTATAACCTTGGATGGCAACTGGTCTACTGCAGAAAGAAGTGGCAACCTACTGCGGGGAAAAATCTGCCTTGACAGTCATGTATCAAAAGATACATGATTGCTTAAGAGTGTATCATGTATTGCACATAATTTATTGCACTGACTGACTGATCTAGAATAGTAAAAATACCACAGTGTTCAATATATTAGATAGTCTAAAAAAAAAAAAAAAAAAAAAAAAAATAATATTTGAGGGAAAGGAAGAAACTAATATATATTATATATATATATATATATATATATATATATATATATGTGTGTGTGTGTGTGTGTGTGTGTGTGTGTGTGTATATATATATATATATATATATTTGTGTATTTAGGCAGCAATCCTTTCATTGAATATGACAGACAAGGTACTTTGATTTAATTTTTTTTTATACTATTTTCTCATGTGATCTAATAATTTTTTTTTTCTTTTTGGATGATAAATTATATAAAAACTGTCCAATTGTTCTTTTTATCTGAGCACTTTTGGCTATACATTTAGCCATTTTCAAGGTTGAAATATATTAACTGTTAACAAGAAATAGATTGTTGTATGTATGTATATATTTATATAATGTTTTCATTTTCAAAACACAATCAACATATTGTGTCCATATTTATAGTTGATATAAGTGTTGGATTTTTGTTTTTATTAATAAGGCTTCCATTATTTTTAGCTTTTTTTGCATGTAGATGATGCTATTTGTGTTGTTAACAAGTATGTTACAAATGAGTATTTAAATGAGACCTAATTGAGCTATGGTCAGAAAGGTGTAGTGTGAGTCTTCATGTCAAAGTTGTAGTATGGCCTATATAATTTACAAATTTTGATTGATAAGGAATACAATTCCTTAATGGATGTTTAAATTCATAAATAATATTTATCCTATTTAAGTTTGTTCTAAGAGAACAATTATTATTTTTAACTATAAGGTTAGAGGTTTTAATTTTTTTGTAATAAATAATTAATATAATTTTTTTGGTATTGTCAACTGGTGTTGTGCATTTTTTGTGCTCTCAATGGATCTATATCCATTGAGAGCTCTATGTCAAAAGACAGAGCAAAAATTATTATATAATGACAAACACTCAAAAAACCATGTGATATTTCATTGAAATAGAAAAAACCCAAAAAGAATACCAGTTGACAATAGTAAAACAATTTTATATTATGTAGGAAGGTGGTGGGGAAAGGAAATGGTGTGTCGTCTTAGTTGTATTAACCTAATTTAACATCCAGATTGTAGACATAAATCAGGGTTAAATCGAAATTCTATTTGGATCCTTCTTCAGTTAAGATTTTGATACATATGTATTCAACTTAAAAAACCTATTATAATTTATATTAAAAATAATGGTTAGCTAAGAATATCCCAAAAATATATTCAGAACCTAGCTAAAGATTTCAATTTAAACAAAGATCTATTCAAAACACACACGCACATATATATATATGTGTGTGTGTGTGTGTTTTCTAATATATAATTATGCATGAGATTCTCTATAAATAATTAATAAAAACACTAAGATATACAGAAAAAAATATATATAAAAAAATCTATTTATGTAAAGAAAAAATTAGATATATAAAGTATATAAAATAGGCAATAGTCTCAAACTTTTATAATTTAAATAAACTTATTAAAGTTTAACAGGATACGAAGAGATTAAAAAAAATAAAGTTAAAAGGATCAGAATTATCTAGTATATGTCTAAGGTTAAATATTTACAGATTTAAGTACAATAAGTATTCGTATCTGTATCTATACGAGAAACTTTTCATATAAATTAACATATAGTACCAAAATTGGTCAAACATATATTTAATTGCTCTCTATTCTTAATATATACATTGTATTAATGACCGTTACAATGGAAATAAGAGATTTCTAAAAGTGCAAACAAATAATACACATAGTTAACATCAATACAAAATATGAGCAATATACATGTGTATATCTATATCTACACAATCATATATACAATAAATACAAAATATACAGATTCATAAGTAGGTCCATTTCAAATTCATAACTTTTTGTTAAATGGTGCTGCTTTTTTACTTTTAAATCCATAAACCTCATATTCTTTTTTTGCTAAGTTATTCCATTGAAAGAAGAAAAATGCTTTCCATCTCATTCTTCTTATTAATTCTTCTGTTTTTTGCATAAGTTTCACAAAATAATTCCATTTGTTTGTATTTGGAATGTTTTTCAGAGAAATGCCAAAATTTACTTTTTCCATATTTTTAAGATACTTATTTTAAAAATAAAGCTTCGAGTTCTCAACCTTAATTTGTTCGCTGATATATGTGCAAAAATATATAGAAAATAAGAACCATTAGGTTAATAATCCAAAGGTCTTTAGCATTTTTGTTTTTATTTTTAAAAAACAGTAACATAAGTAGAGCCTAAATTATAATTATTTTTTTAAAAATATGATTCCATCGCTACATTTCAGGTGTACAAATATGAATTTAATGGTGTAACAATAATGCCAACAAATCTGTCATTGAAACAGACCAGATGATATGCTTCAAACTGATGTCATCATTCGCTTAAAAATAGACACCCCGACCTTACTTTAACTTAACTTTTCCGAAAATAACTAATATGTTGATACAATATGTTGACCCTTTCGCCCCTTATTATAATAATTGGTTTTACGTAATTAATATTACGAATGTATATGCTTATAAAGCTCCGTAAATTTCAAGATTAGTTATTCCAAAATAATGAAATAGAGCTGGTTTTTTAGCTTTTATTTTTGAAACATGAGAACTCTTATGTAGTGATGGAATCATATTTTTAAAAAATAATTATAATTTAGGCTATACTTATGTATTGAGCACCGTTTTTTTAAAAATAAAAACAAAAATACTAAAGATCTTTGGATTATTAACCTAAAGGTTCTTTCACATTTTTCTATATATTTGCAACCAATCACACATATATATATATATATATATATATATATTTATGAACAGAATAATTTCATATATATTATAATTATAGTTATAATCCAATATAATCCAGCATTAGATTTGTCAGGGAAAAGATAAAATGGGATACTTTTGGACACACCTCATATTTAATTCTTTGAGCATGATGGCTACAATATGGTGATAATGAACATTTAATTCAAAGAGTGTGCAAGAACAACTGAAAGGAGGTTTTCAACAACCCATTCTTGGAATGATAATGATTTATCAAAAAATTACAATATATATATAAAGATAATCAATATTCAAAACTGTTATAAGCAAATTAGGTGAAAATTTTAATCTTTCAAAATATGCTACAATTGTTATTTAAATATCAAAGTTATACAGAGATGCAGTGTTTAAAATATTTCAGAAGATCATTTAAAGATTTTCATCTAATAGGCTAAAAAAAAAAAAAAAATACTGAAAAACATGCTTGTAGAAGAGATTCAATTAAATCTTGAGTTTGTTAATCAAACAGATGCTAACATCTTCAGAGCTAACATGTGTACAATGGAAATGTATTGCATCCATAGTGGCTAAGAATGAAAGATCAATTTTCAAAATGTAGATCAAATATAATAAAACTGCTGCCCCACTTTAATATCTACATATCTTTTGTGTTAATCAAACATTAATAATCAATAAGACATGATTTATAGAGCTATTTACCTCATGAAGGCAGTTTCTCATGTTTTAGCAAATTTTCTTTCTATATTATTAAGGAACAATGTCAGGTTTAGCACTATGGTCTACTACCCCCTTGAAACTTTGATATAGGGGCCCCCCTTCTCTACTACATGTTGATTTACGAGTTTCCCAACCTGGGGACATAAACCCAGGAAGAAAAATTGATGGAAAGGGTAACACTTTTTTAAATTACCAAAAATCAGGGAATTATGCAATTTAAATTAAAATTTCAGTATATATTAACTAATTATTTACTTTTGTAATGAAAATTTTTTTTTATTAAAAAAACAAATCTGAGAAAATATTCTTTTTGTAATAACCACCAATATTTTCATAACTAAATTTTACTCAAAAAAAAAAAAATATGTGTAAGTCACAAATTTTCACATTTCCATGAAGATTAATTGCTGGTGTATCTCTGCTGAAAAAAAAGTGTTACAAAGATTCCAACACAACACAAATAGGATTGTCTTAAAAATTTGTTTTAAAACAGTATTTCAGTTTTCAGGAAAATTGTACATGTGTTGAAATCTCTAAACATTTTTATTTTTTAAATGATTATTTTCTTGGTTTTATCTTTCTTGAAATGTTAAAAAAAAAAAAAAAAAAAAAAAAAAAAAGTAGGGACTAGAATAGTATTTTAATTACTAGCCATGGACTTCTGGTTAGTATTACTATTAGTCAAAAAAAAAAAAAAATCTTAGTGGATTATCTCGGAATAAAAAAATGATTTTACTGAGATATATTATATTGATTTAAAAGAAAATTACAATTTAAAAATTATAAGTGCTACTGAAATTAGCTCTTCTACCCACCCCAAAACCCCACCTTCCAAGTAGGTATGGGGCCACCATGTGGTTGAGAGGTTCAGGGTAGTAAACACCAGCCCTGTTGATTAACAGTAGATGATTGACAATCTCACTTAGGTAGGAAAAAAAAAAAAAAAAAAAAAAAAGAAAAGAAAAAAAAAAAGGTACAAATAGTAAAAAAAACATGTTGAAACTAGCTCTTTTGGGGCTCTAACCACATTGGGGGTTTCTGCATAGTACGTACCTCACTGACCATGCAGATACACAATGTATATTATTAACTGATGACTGACAATGTAACGTCAGTTTAAAAATAATTAACAAAATGGCAGATGGCCATAAAACAGTGCAAAAAGAAAAAGGAGAGAGAGAGACCACAACAGGTCCCAAAAAATGTGCTGCCAACAATCCACTCAATCAGGGTCCAAACTCATGTTAAATCCAATATTTTAAATTTATATTTAGATAGCAAGCTAACTGAGTAGCAGGATTGATTCTCATTGGCTAATTTAGGATTGAGTTTTATTCTCTTATTTTGAGGATTCTTTAAGAATTTTTTTTTTAATTAATTCTCTCATGATCTTACCTTTTCTGCTTCTTCATATCGCTCCAGGAGGGCATAAACAATTCCCAAATTGAGATAAGCCACTGAAGAAATTTCAAAAAGAAAATATTGAAGACATAATTGAAAAAAAAAAAAAAAAAAAAAAAAAAAAGTTACTGACAAATTTGTTGCAAAAACTCTACAAATACAAACTGTAAGAGATTTGTATATATCTCAGAGTTTTATGTCTTGTTTGTTGACCAAAAGAATTTGAAAGGTTGACAGTTTGTAATGCTTTGGTTATTCTCTGATGAGAAAAACTGATCAAGACCAAAAAGTCATCTGAAGGAATGATAGATGGTTATATAGAGACCCTACAGACATTCTAATGGTCATGCAGATAAAGTTTCCAGCAATTGTGATGTTTTGGAAAACATGAGCCTCCTCACTTCTTTCCTTAGGGCTTAAAGGTGAATGCTGGTGACTATGGAGGTGTTAGAGAAAGTTGGGTGTTCTTGGATAAAGGGCAGGAGCAGACTGTACACCTGCCAACAAGACCGTGTTGTCTCATAAGGCCAAGATGGCCCAAGAATGGATGAATTACAATCACCACAATCATATCACTAAACATATGGCATATCCTAGCTCTTCAGACCTTTTGTCAAGATTATTCATGCCCATTTTTTCTCAAATAAAAAAAGCTCTTCATTCATGGCTTATGCGCCTTAAAACTAAACTCATTCAAATGTGCACAAAGTACCAAGAAAAAGAAAAAAATGAAAACGGTGAAACCAATTATTGTAATAAGGGGTGAAAGGGTGAACATATTAGTTACTTGCGGAAAGAGGTTAAGTTAAGGTAGGGTTGGGGGTGTCTATTTTTCTCCTATGCCATAAATAACACTGTGTGTGTGTGTGTGTGCGTATATATATATATATATATACACACACACACGTGTTATTTATGGCATAGGAGAAATAAAAATAGAAATGCCAGTCTCAAGCAACAGTTGGCAATACATAACTGTCTCAGCCACTATGCATATTACACATGCACATTTTATATATATATATATATATATAGTGTGTTTGTATTTGGGAAGCAATCCCTTTATTATAAAAGTTTCATTAAAAATGACTGTCAAGCTTTTTATTCAATTTTTCTTGCATTCATACAAATATTTTCTTTTTGGGATATAAAGTGTGTAAAAATTGTCTAAATGTTAGAACATTTAGACAATTTTTACACACTTTATATCCAAAAAAGAAAATGTGTATGAATGCAAGAAAAATTGAATAAAAAGCCTAAAAGGATACGAGTGCTTTTGTCTAATCTATTAGCCATTATCAAGGATATTTTTTAATTTTTTTTACTGAACAAGTAGATTTTAATATCTTTTTTTTTTTTTTTAATTTTCCAAACATGGTCAGCACATTGTGGCTATGTTCATAGTTGATATTATTGAGTAAAAGCACTTGGATATATAGAATATTTTGGCATTTTTACACACTTTAGAAAGAAAAATACTTGTACAAATGCAAGAAAGATTGAATAAAATGCATAATCACAGTACCTTGTCAGATATATAAAGAATTAATGGATTTTATTTTATTTGGCATTTTTATTACTTCAAATGTTGTGTCTAGTGGGTACACTGCATTTGAGTTGCTAGTTAGTTTCTCTCATTCCTATGCAACAATGGGCTCTTTTTGACAGTGCATCTGAACAAAAGCAGATCAAGCGTAACAGAGGTTGTATTTTATCTGGATGTGTCAATAAGAGTTATTGCCTACTAAACAAAAGTGAATAAATTTTGAATTTTTGTTTGCCTTTTTTTAATGTAATTATCATTTATTTCTATGTATTTTATTTTATTTTGTTAAATTAATTATTTTTAATATTTAAAATGTCTTCAGTAAACAGTCGTTATTTTAAAAAAAATTTATGGTCATGTATATATGCAAGTTACAAAATAAGATCTGCACATTTACTTTGATTAAGTTCCATAAGGAATGAAACTTGTTAGTATTGGAAAGTTTTTCCTTTTGTCTTTTCTTATATATATATATATATATAACCTTTCAGGCACGCTTTTTTATGGATAAAAGTGGTCAATATCAGATCAGGAAGAGAGCATATATAAATTAATATACATCTTGGACACTGATGCTTGTTTCATGCTTGAACTCTATATTTGTTTGTTGTGTTGGCTCAACTATTTATATATTCTGGTCAATAGAGCATTGTGGATAGCAAAGTTGATTGTATTATCCTAACAGTTAGTGGGTAGGCAGTAATGGTTATGTTTCAAATTATTATAGAAGCTCTTGAGTAGAAATAATTGTGGATACAATGGTGGTTATTGGTAGCTATTTTATAGTATTGTTTATTAACTTTTAATGATTAAATACAAAATTCTGTAAGTAATCAATAATAATGAGTTAATTGTCATTGATTATTATTATTATTAACACATTTACTTGTTACTTCTAGGCAACTAGACCTTAGATTACATCATGTAGTATCTTTGAATGGGAATTTTTAAATTTAAAAAATATTAATCAACTGAAATGTTTAAGTATTTAGACCTTAGATAACGTCATTTAGTATACTCGAAAAAGAATTTTTTTTTGTATTATGCATATCTAAAAGTTAAAATGATGCATTCAGCCATTTTCCTTTGATTTTTTAACACATTTGTTGTATATGTTAGCTCCATAAAGTAGTAATACCTTCAGGAAAGGTGAGACTGTGGGGGAAAAAAAAAATATATCAGGGCATAGATTGATATTTTGATAATATTTCATGGCAAAACTCTCAAGGATTTTTCTTCAGAGTAAATTACTTTCTCTTTTGGTGAGTGTGGCATTTTCTTTAGATCAAAATTGTGTCAAATTTATTTCTGTGTATGACTAATGCATTTGTTAATTTTATTTATAAGGTGTCTTTTGTGTTCATTGACATGTTTTTTTTTAAAAATATCTGCATGTTTCTCCAATATATTGTGAAGAACAGTCTAGGCCATTTATTATATAGTTTTGGAAGTGGTTGTGACTTTGGATGTTTATATTTATATGGGAAAAGGTATTTTGGATAGTGGATATTATAGAATTGGTAGGTAGTATTATGTATCTGTTTTTGTTTAATTTACTATTGTGGCTAATGTTATTTTTGTTGCAATCTTATATTTTTTTGTGCCTTTCTCTTTGTATTGTGGATGAAGTGATAGGGATATGGGAGGTTTTTGAATGTGTTTTATATGTGTGTTTCTTCTTTGAGTAAGTATTGGGGGCTGCAAATTCTTAGTGCTCTTAAACAGAAACCTATAATTATACCAGACATAATTTTATAAGAGTGGTCTGCGTAGAAGTAGACTAGATAATTTTTGTTGGTAGATTTTCTGTAAATGTCAAAACTGAATTTGCTATTGTTTCTGTGTAACATGATATCTAGAAAGGGAAGAGTGTGGTTGGTTTCAGATTCAAAAGATGAAATCTATTGTAGGTTCAACATTGTTGGTTGACAAGGTCTTTTAAAATAGTGTTTTGTAGATATATTAATAGAGGGGAGTCTATGTATCTGAAATAGGAATTTTTATTTAATAATAGAAATATTCACCACTCTAAAATAAAAAAAAATTCTTTAATTTTTTTTCTCTCCTTATACACATATGCAAAGCTTGTTTATTTTAAATGCCAAGTATAAATTTTAAAATTAAAAAAACTGTAATCCCAGTATAATATATATCTACATCAACATTACAGTAACCAGACATAATTTTTAAATTTAAATTACATAACGACCAGTCTATACTCAGTACCTGAAGATTGTGTTGTGCATAAAACTCCAAGTCATGCTATCAGTGAGAAATAATATGTACATTTATTAATATATACTTAATAGCTCTGTTGTATTACAGAGTACTGTTTTATCAAGACCAGCATTATATATATATATATATATATATATATATATATATATATATATATATATATATATATACACACACACGTCAAATTTGAAATATTAGTATATATATATATATATATATATATATACATACATGCATATATTTTTTACATTAAAATTTGCTTTCGTGATAAAATTGACAGAGAAAAATTAAATGGATTTTTAACCCATTTTTAATAAAGTCAGTAGAATAAACTGAAAGGTTTTGCTTGAGTTCTGGCAAAGCTACAGTGTATATTTCTCACATTTTTGTACTAATTTCTTTTTTAATGAATTTAATTACAAAAGACTATATTTTATATATATATATATATATATATATATATCTATCTCCACACATACATACATACACATCAAAAAGTAGACGAAATACATGTATAAAGCACATTTTAAACAATCTGTATCATATTCGATAACAAATCTTAATTCAATATGATGAACAAGTGGGGAGAAAAAAGTAAAAGTTATAAAAATAAATTGAAAATAAAAAACAAACAATGTAAAAGCATTTAAGTAACAACAGTTGAAACCCTAATTATGTCCCTTGGCAATACTTTACCCCAGATTGTGACATTTATTGCATTTGGATAGCTACTACTTATAATATTATTAGCATATTCATTTCAGCATAAAGTCAGCTGGAGGTCATCAAACATCTGGTTTTTCTTTTTACTAATTATTCAGTTATGCAAGACTTAATTTCTTTTATTATTAATGTGTGTGTGTGTGTGTGTGTGTGTGTGTGTGTGTGCGCCACCTAGCTCAGCATTTATTGATGATGTATGCAAAGTATTAAAATGACTGCAAGGCGGCAATTCAAATTGTCTGCATGAGATTTAGGTTCATAAGTAGAAAAGATTTTGCTACCAGACAAATACACTGAGTGTAATGACCTTTTCAGGGTCTTGGAAATGGAGTAAAAAACAGAGAAAGAGGCTTTTCATGTTCTGGAATGTAGATGTCATCAAAAACCAAGAGTGGCAACAAGCAAGACATTTTTGCCTTTGTTCAATGAAGAACTTGGTTTTTTTTGTTTTTTTTTTGTTTTTTATAACAAAAAATGTTTAAAGAAAGTAAATCAAATTGTCAAAATTGTAGCAGATTTAGAAAAAAAAAAAGTTTCTCTGCAGAATTC